TCCTGGACACCACAGAAAATGGGCTAAAAGTGTTAAAAATCGGAATTTTCCTTTAAGTCAATGAGTCAATGAAATAGAAAACTTTGAATCAATTTGACTGTATGATCTGGTTGAATTTTAAAATACCCTAAACTGACATGTGTTGTGAATTGGAGCTACTTAAATAATCTGACTTGCATTGAAGATAGAAAAAATGTAATTAATTCCAGTCAAGGTTAAACCTCTCAATGCAGAATTATAATTAATCATCCTTTCTGCGGGTCAGATAGGGGAAAGAAAAACATTCATGGAGTTTATTGCCCTATTTGAACCTTTCTGGTTCAGTATGAAGCTAAACACTGTAAGCAGATAATTTAATGACCTCCACATTAGGACCAGCATTGAAAAAGGTCTCACCCAGAAGAACAGGGCCCATTATCTGCACTTTTCTTTTTGTGTTATGTGCTTTTCTACACGTGGATCTGACGGATGACTTACAGGAAATTGACGCAGCCAGTGCCAGGTGGCGGGGCGATCCAAACAAAACTGAAGCTGGTGGAGGGCTGATGGCTGACATGAGAAGCCACAACACTGCAGACAAACTGGGTTCCAGTGAACTGTCGGTCTGGTATAACACCTGGAGAAAAACAGAGAATGAAATAGATTAGGGGAAAGAGCCGCAAGGAGATTTGGAAGAGAATGAAAGTTAACTGACTATACAAACAAAGCCGTTATTATGAAATTTGAATTCTTTAATAACATTTAGTTAGTTTTAGATACCCAGTTTGAGTTTGTTTTTATTTTATCTGAGTTTTTCCATCCCTCAGTTATAATATTCTTCTGTTATTTTGTACTCAACAAGTATTTTCTGTTTGCTTTCATATTACATTTTTAATTTACTCTCTATTTTATTTGCTTATAATTCCATCTCTCCGCCTTTTCATCTTTACAGTCACTCCTATGGGCTGACACCCTGCATCACAGCTCTTATTAATGTGCGTCTGTGTTCAGCTATGATTGCATCGTTGGAATGATATCATGTCACACAATCTTTCCTTTATATCGCAAAGGGCAAGGCCAGGACACCAGCAGACTCATCAATCAATCTGCAGACATCCTGAGCAGTTCAATAATTTACTGTCCATAAATGAGACACCCAAGATGTGCAGCAGCAATCACTAATGTGAAAAACAACTCAGGTAAGCATTTTTTCAAACAGAAAATATATTTTCTTTAGTCTGAAAAATCAGTCTAAACTGCAATAAGGGCAGTTTAGGGTTTCTCAGTTCTAACCTCTGCAGGGTGTTATAATACCTTTAAAAATACGCATTTTAAGTGTGAATAGGTGCCTTTTTCCTTTGATTTCAGCAAGTAAGTGAGAACATTTAACAATAGAAAAATATTATTTCTGTTTGAAAAAAGAAACTGAAGTTGTTCTTCCTCTGTGAACATGTGACCTCAGTTTTAAACAGTACTTGTTTAAACAACTGAATCATCAGCTTTTATAAAACCCAATTTATATCACATGAAAGCGTGTTTTGGTTCGTATACTTTTGAAACTACAACTACAAAACCTAACCCTAACTGCAAAGTACAAGAGAATATTTAAAATATTTCTACATATGATAATCTGATAAATGTGACATGCATTTCTGTCAAAATAGAAGTTAATAAGTTGTTAAGTGGTTTTTATGTGATAAAATACAAATAAGTGCAAAGAGTTTTAATTTTTGTTAAAGGCTCTTTATTTTTGCTAAACACTGCAAAGCCCCCCCCTCAATATTGACATATTCTCAGCTGTGATTAATAACACCCTGTCTATTTTTAAGGAAAGGCTTAAAACTTCCCTTTTTGATAAAGCTTATAGAGTGGCTCAGGTTATCCTGAACTATTTCTATAGTTATGCTGCTATAGGGTTAGACTGCTGGAGGATAAAGGGACCCCTTTTTCCTCATTCTATCTCTATTCTCCCACTCTGCAGAATCTGTTAGTTCAATCTCTAACG